CCGTTTTGCCGGTTTGCAGATCTCCTGCTTTGCCCCACTGTTTCTGCTGGAGGTACTGTAACCCTCTGGAACTTTCCCCCCTCATCATCTAGCCCTGTCTGGTATTTGAGAATCGTCTCCACAGGCTGGTGCCAACTTGTGTCATCTGTACAGTTAAAGTGATACACTGCTCAAATATTCAACCCACGGAGACTTCTGAACCACCTGTGAAAAGGTTGTTGTCATGCTGGTTGTAGCGGATTTCAGTTGTGACCAGATGGAAAAAAACAACATGAAAACATGCACAGAACTTCTCCAATTGCAATAGCGGTGGTGTTTGCCACACATAATCACCCAAAGATATTGAAGCAGTGGAGGTGGTTGTAGGGAAATTCTTTGTTTCCAGTCCTCGTGCTAAGCTAATGACTCTTGGGGAGATTTATGGAGCCGATTTTCAATGTGTAGCAGCCGAATGTGTCGATTTCATTTCTGAATGAACATCTTGGTCTCCAAATCTTCAAATCTAACATTTAGGAATGTACCATTCTTGACACAGCACAAGTCTGAATTGCATAAAATTGCATCAAACACCATTTCATGTTCTGTCTAGTCTCGCTCATATAGCAAACATGGCGTACGTACCGTGGCGTTCTGTCACTGTGAGAAACATAACCGTAAAAGTGACCTCTGTCTGAATTTTACCAAACCAACAAAGCTAGCAATGTCCCGTATCACACGTCTGAAAAGGTGTTAAGCAACAAATGCAGTGAGTGGTGTCAGTTTTCTCTTTAAAAGTGAGCAAACAACAGTATTTCCCAAACTTCTGACCTCATATTTTAAGGTCACACACATCACTTGGGCGAGAATAAAATTAGAAACTGCAATTACTGTCGCAACATTTCGGCTAAAATATTAATGCGATACACGGGGCAGAGAGGTGAAAAAAGACTTTTTATGGGTATTTTGATGCTTTTTTTCCCCCTCCACCGTGAGACACTTGCATATTTAAATAAAACTATTTTTGAAAGAGCTGGTGAAAACATAGCTTCTTTGGAAGAACCTCTCTTCTGGCTGAGTGAGGTCATCATTGCACAATGAAAAGAACAGACTTTAAGACAGAATGCGTTCTGACAAAGAAATATGATTAACATTTCTAATTTCTTTTGCAATGATGGCCAGTTTAGCGGCTTAACCACTAATCCTCGTACCTGTCTGAATACATGCTGACCAGTTCTTGGAGTTTGACCTATATGTCTGAAGTCTTGGGTCATATTTGGTTATTGCATTGCATCTGGTCAGTAATATTTTACATGGATTACAAGAGGCTTCCCTCCAACGCTGCGTGAACAGAACAAGAACGTGGGCGTAATGCGGATATGATTTGAGGAAAATAAAATTCTGTATTAAACCACAACTTGTGTGAACAAAGTGAGCTCTGTGTTTCTTTGAATCCATTGAACAGAAATATCCCGGCCGTCCGCAGCGCAACCAAACCCTCCGCTGTTTCATTAAATAGCAAGACGGTGTGTGGGCGAAACTGTGACTAGGTCTGAGTGTTTGTGGTGAAGAGGTGGGGGTTTGCACATGTATGAACTTGTATGTGATTCGAGGATTTCCCTGTGACGTTTAGCTTGCATGGTCAGAAGCTGAAGGAACTGAGAGGGTTTTTTTTCTGTGGCAGTGGTTGTAAAGCGGTCTGTAAAGAAGGTGAGACATTTGAATGGAAATGTCACGTCTGTTCCACAGAATCTGACAGAATCTTATGGTAAAGAAACGAAGGAAAACAAACGCTAAACCGCAAACACATTAAACTGTATGTTGTCACTTGTCTGGATTGACACTTGTTTGTTAAAAAAGAAAAACCATTTTATTATAATTTCAACACCATTCCTTTCATCAAAGCCCCGTAGAGGCAGCAGGTATGTGACAGCAGGTCCACACAGGAGGATTTTCAGCCCTGTTGAATCCCTCGTACACTGATTGTTACTGTTTTGTCCACACATGTTTGTGTTTCGCCTTTAGGTCAATTGTCGAATCAGTCAGTGTGATCCCGGCCTGTTTGATTGCATCATGATTGGAAAGGCTCAGCGGGTCATCACGACCGCAACGAGCACACAACAGCCTGTACTTTTCCACTGATTTTTAGCGAACACGCAGGGACCGGCCTCTGAATCGGTGGCCTGGCACCGTGTTTTGCCTCCACGGCGTTTCGTGGGGGTCACACAAGATGTTCTTTTTCAGTCGATTGAGACTCTTCCTGTTTTCTCCGTGTGAACAAACACCCCGAGGCCTCCTCGGCCGCGCACGGCGACGCACGCACACGCTGCAAGAAAGTGAGAGCGAGAAAGGCTCAGGCACCGAGGTGATACACTGAACTGGGCTACTGTAAACACTCCTGCTGTCTCTTCCTGTTTCTTTCTCTCTCTCTCTCTCTCTCTCTCTCTCTCTCTCACACACACACACACACACACACACACACACCTGTTTCTAAGCCTGCCTACCATCACGACCTGAAAAGGAGAGGCAGCAATAAAACCATTACTTGGAACAGAACATATGGTAAACAATGTAATAAACCCTGGGTCCCTAATCTAACCTGCAAACCGTACTTTAATACATAAATTTAGACAAATAAAAAGGCAGAAATAGTTTTGAAACGTGTAGTCCTTCCAAGTAAACTACAATATTTGAATTTTAGTGAATCCTATTGTGGTAAATACTGCAATATTTGACCCACAACTTTTAGTTTAGCTTGTTTATTGTGGATAATAGCTGCAGATAAACGGCCAAATGGAAAATGAGAACTTTCAAAATAATATTTAGTTTAAAAAAAAAAGGAAGAAAACATTTGGAGAATATGTCACATAGCTGAAAGTAGGAAAGTCTTGCCTCAGCATTAGTTCTTGTTTGGGATAGACAGGAAAAATACTGCAGAATTCTCCCTCCTTTAATTTTCATACTTGATTGTGACGCACTGGATGCTGCAGAGGCATTGCACAAGCTAAATGTGTTTGTGTTTGGATGTCATTTTTTTTGGAGTGCGGGGGAGTGCGTTTATTAGAGCAGAGAGCCGGGATGAGAAGAGGAGGAGAGATGGGGGTTGACATGAAACAAAGCCTCACAGCTGTTTGGCATGACAAACTCCTCGAGGCCACCGGGGCGACCTGTTGAAACAAATCTTTGTGGAGAATGAAAAGCAGGGAGACCGCAGAAACTGAGCCAAGAAAGTTGGTACGAAATCGAGACGGATCCATTGAAGGTGATCAAGTGTTGTTTAAACTTTCGCACAAAAAATGGGTTTATTCGTCATGCTATAACAGATTTTCAGCAAGCCGAGGCCACTTTATCTTTTCAATTTTAATGTTTTTTACTATATTTCTTGTAAATAATGTGAATGAAATGTGCCAACATTAAGAAGATATAAACAAAAAGAGATAAGAACACGCAAAATATCCTATAATGTCCTGTCCATGACTCCCTCAATCTCTGACATGTCTGAATGAAACTGTGAGGAAAACTACTGGCTGATGTCTGAACTTCCAACGTGTCTGAAAAGGCCGTAAATAACAAATATAGTGAACACACGTAGTGAGAAACAGTACTTTTTTCCAAAAATCTGAACTTCTGTTTTAAGGTTATGCACATTACTGGCTGAGGATAATAATAGAAGCTACAATTACTGCCGCAGCATTTTGGTGGAAGTGTTCATGTTTGGAGAATGTGAAACATAGTGGAGAAAAATGCAGTGGAAGCAGTTTTTATGCACATTTTGGTCCTTTTTTCTCCACTATGAAGCAATGTTGTAAATTTTGCTTCACATAGGTATACAACACTGGTTTTAAAAGCGCTTATTTTCTTTAAAAAAAAACAGACTTCTCAGTTAAAGCTTAGGTTCTTTGTTGTTACATGAAATAATTGTGGCTTTAGCACGACACTCACACCTACATTCATAGGTATATGCTACAGCGTTACCTCGTTCTGTTCGTATGAGCAGATCTGAACTTTTCCTATGACATGAATATTACACGTGCAATTTGCTTCCTGTAAATCTTATTGTCGTTTATGGTACATTCATTCTGTTACCTCAGTGTGAGTGGATGCGAGTGACGAGTGTGTCTGAATGAATTTAGGTAAAACAGTTTGATCACGGCACCATGTAGAGACACAGAGGATGAAACATGATAACTTGTTATTGCTGCATATGATAATAAAGCCTTTATATCCTTTTAATCACACACACACACACACACACACACACACACACACATATATATATATGGATATAGGTAAATAATATTGTATATTCTTCTTCTGATGATGATTCATTTGCACTTTGAAAACCCGATAATGCAACATTCTGAATCAGAGGCCATTTTTACACATATTTTGATACTTTTTCTCCACAATGAAGCACTTTTTTGAATTTTTCTTCTCATTTTTGTACAAAACAGTTTTTTAAAAAGTGAATCTCCAAAGAAAAGCTCAACTTTTTCACCATCTTGTAAAAGTAATGACCAGTATATTGGTAAATACAGATATATTCTCAATACTCCTACTGATCCAACAGACTGATGAGAAGTATCTGCTGATTGTATTTTTCTACAGATGGCAGATCAAACCTAACACCAGCAGTATTTCCTGTCACCTCTGGGTTACATTTGAACACAATAGAAGTGATATAATCTATCACTTGTAATCTATCTTGTCTTGATCACTGAATCCAGCCTCTCCGAGCGAGATTACTTCAGTTTTTTCTTTGTTTTATTGTCCGTTTGCTTTTGTTTCCTCTCCCCCCCTCTCTTTCCTGCGCTGGCCGTATTTCCCACAGCTCTGAACGCAGCACGGTTTCATGCCTCGTCCCTCTGTTTATTTTCAGAGCGTTGACGTGAACGCTGCACTCCTCCTATATGTGGCCCGTCAGCCGCTGCGGGGCCGCGGATTGGTGAGCTGCAGTTGCTGTAGCAGCTTGTGTCGTCGCTGTGGGGAGGAGAGGGGGTGGTATAAAAGCACCGTCCCCCTCTCCGACAGCTTCACTCTGGAGGAGGAAAGTGCGAAGGGAGGGTTGGCTGACGTTTTTTTTTTCTCAACAAGGGACCCCCCCAACCCCCTGTATTTACCAACAACAGGCGTCTATTACCCAACACTGTACCGTAACCGCACACGGACTCTCTCTGTCAGAAACTTCCCTCTACCTCGACTAATAAATGCCAAGAGAAACAACACAACCGCCAACAGATAAGGATCGACGCTCTGAGTCGGAGACGAACCGTCGGACAAACACGTAGAAGAAAAAAGAAAAAAAAAACGACAAAAAAGCGCACGGATCGTCGCCGTTGCCTTTCTCAATGCATACCCTTTGTGCCCGGGGAACGATGAAACCAGAGATCAACGCCGCCGTCGGATTTCTGTCGAGATTTCTGAGGGTAAAAGGACACGTAAACGATCGACAGGTCCAAACATTCAGCCAAAGCTTACAGGACATTTTGGCAGGTAAGGAAACCAGAAAATTACGCATTTTACGCACACAGAACACCGCCTAAAACACCCCCACTGCACACACCACGGCTTCAGTCTTTAAGTTTAGGCTTTGTTTGATCGTGAACTGCTCGATTTTGGGTCGTAATAGATGTGAGAACGATTCAGAAGAAGCCTTTCTTTGTTCTCCTTAAGTATCACTATCAGCGGTGCCAGCGCGCACCACCGTTTGCGCACGTCGGAGAGGGAAAGGACGACAAAGTGAAACGGCGGCGGCGGACGATCCGAGGCGATTTAGTTGGAGGGATTAAACCGATTTTTTTTTCTTGGAAGATTTCGAACCGAGAAATATTGGTTCAAGTTGAATGTATCGCTGTGTTCGGATGTGGGGGGGTGGGGAGCGCGCACGGAGACGCTTGGCTCAAACAAGGAAGTGCGCCTCGGTCGATAAAGCTCTCAGAGAATGGAGCAAAACAGCCCCCAGTGAGATGGTAGAGGCTGCTCAATTACGTAATGCTTAGGACGAAATAGGTTAATAAACGGAATCTGTTCAGTGTCAGAGCAAAGTTTAGGAGGTTATTGGCGCCGTAAATATTACATAAATGATATTTTTTTTACACAACACCGCTTATTGGAATATCACATTCTGCCATGTTTGTGTTTCATTGAGAAGTTTATGGCCCGGACACCATTTTGTATTCAAATGGCAAAAAGATAAACGTCAATTTTACCAGATTTTCCATTCATTTAGCAATCCTTAACCTTTTGTTTACAATGAATGGATGTAAAACCAACCGATTTATATTAAATAAAAAAAGATCTCCCTGCAAATTGAGCATATATTCCTTTAGTTTTACATAAAGACTTAGTTTGAGGCTATTATGGCGGTTTTTACGGAACACTGCAGCTCAGGGATTCCTGCTGTAAACACATTCCAGCCTCTGGGCTCTAAAGCTGCCATACATCTGTCTCCCTCCATCTACATGCAAACAGCAGATGACCTACATTTCCATAGGAGGCTCCAGTCGTACATAAACGGCTCTTATTTGTTCTGTTTGAGAACAAAGGACCTTGTTGTAATGTAGAATCCGCTGCTAATATTACAGGATTTATGTAAGATGAAGAAAATGACCTTAAACCACTCATTTGGCACCGCAGATCGCTGCAGTTCATTGTGGGAGTTTTCAAAATTTATCACGTCAACAGTGGAAGAGACGGTTGTTTTGTTGTTTGGAGATCATGGCGGTGGGCGAATCGAATTATGGGTTCACCGAAAAATGCCCGCCAGCACTCCATTGGACGGCGGTGTTTGTAAACAGACAAAAGTTGGGAGTCTGCTGTGAGGCCCTTGTGGGGGGAGGGGACATGTTTTGGTGGGCGCCTATAGGAGGACATTAAAGACGGAGCGTAATGAGGGAGGAAATGGAGGGGAAATCCAGTGAAACGGCCCAGCCTATACTTAGTGGACATAAACATTAATTATATCAGAATGATGGAAATTAGAAGCTTGATTCTGCGATTAAAAAAGAAGCATAAACATCACTGATGGGGTGTATAATCTGTTTAAAAGATGAATAAATTGCTTCCACAAGGTCTCATTTTCAGGCAAAAACAAGAGCGAGTGTGCGGTAGTACCCAGTGGGGCTCGCTGCTACTAAACTAGGCCAGCCAGAGCTCCTTTTGTGCTTGGAATCATCACAATTACTCACTATTGTGTCTGCATGCTGAAAAGCTGAGTGCCCAGCTCCTCTTGTTTGTGCTGAGCAAAGGGAAGTGTGGGGAGGGAAATTAGGCCCAATGGCCAGATTGCAACCGCAGTAGTTGCGTAATTGTAGCTAAAGTTTCTCTTCCTCTATTTATCAACGTGATTTGATGCTCTCCATATAAAAAGAAAAAAGGGAGGAAAAAAAACACCCACCCGCTGGTCCGGCAAACGGGCCTCGGCCGAGTCACATAACATGTTTTCCAGCGTTCGAGGTCAGCCACGATGAATAAACAACCCTCTTTGGTTAAACTCTTTAGGTTAAGCGCACACTCGTCTGCTTACTTTTCCGTCCCCCCCCCCTCCTCCCTTCCCGTGTGCCCTCATTTTTAAGAATAGGCCCTGCTGAGCTGATCATTTCCCAGCTGCTCCGGGGTTTGTAGGTAGCTGCCTTTGTGGCTTCGGTCTTGAGGCTGAAAGCTCATCCAGCCCCCTTGTGCTCTTTCACGAGTGCCAGCCCCTCCATTAGCTCAGCAGTATACAGCCCTCTGTGATAAGGCACCGAGGGGGGAGAGGAAGGGGAGGAAGGGAGGGGGATGTTATTATCCTGTGGATGCATACAGGTGGCCTCCGGGTCCGGGTCTGAATGCTGGCCTACTTCCCTTAGCCCGTTTTTCATTGGCCACAATGCAGTTACCATCAATGGGAATTCAATATGGATGAGTCTTGTCAGAGTAAAGAGGAGGGGGGTAGGTGAGTTCCTTAAAGTGGGGAGGTCAGTAAATGAAAAGGTTAGAACAAAAGGGATTTGAAACTGTTCAGCTATCGTGGAAAAAAACAAAAAAAGATAGGCAGGCTTTTCATATGCTAAAAGAATAAGCAGACCTGGAATGAAAGAACGAACCCCCTACGTCCACGCAGCCCAAATCAAATAACCGTCTATTTGTTTTACTCATCATTTTAACCCGTAAAGAGGAAAAACCCCGAGAGTGGCGTCACTGCGATTCACTAGTTTCACTGTTCGGGTAAAACTTCCATGAAGGAGGAAGAAAAATAGGAGCGTGTCCCTTTAAGAGGCGGAGCTGCGTGTCCCAGATGGCTGCGAGGACACTCTCGGTGTGTTTTGTTCAGCCAGTCATGGGAGACTTTGTGACACTGACGAAGGCCAGGGGAGGGATTGTGCAATTCAATGGCAGCCTTTTTGTCACGTAGGCCCAGGGTGCCGCTGGCTGCCTGTTAATGGCTGCTTATCAGCCCTGTAACAGGTGGTGGTGTTTTTCTTTCCTCTCCTTTGGTACGAGCACACAATGACTCCCTGTACTTATGTGCACATAAGTACATTTAGTAATTATGATAAGTTGAGTATGACATTTGTACAACGTCTACAGAATCATTCTGTTACTACATGAGGGAGAAATGTACTCAGTGGTTCAACCGTTTACTGAGCAAAAGTTTGCTTTTTGCATTATGTGTTAAAAAAAACAAACAAACAAACAAAACAACATGATTCTTGTTTACTATTTGGAGATGATCCTGAATACAGACTGTAATGTTTTGAGATTTATCAGGACCTTTTAGACGAACTGAAAATCATAAACATGTGGGTTTAATGAGGGGTAATCCCACAGGTGTCTTTTTTTATGATGTTCCCATTATTACTTTAACTCTCTTCACAGCCACAACATGTTTATGAAATCACGTGGCCTTATCTCCCACAAAGTACAGACTGTCTACTTTCAGTTCAACCTTTGTTCGGCTCCAGTTTACAGCAGCTCACACCTGTGCAGCCACAACTGGCTTCTGTAGTCACATGCATGACTGGGCTTTCTTCAGCAGTGTTCATGACATCATTTTGCCCACATTACATGTTGGTACAAGCAGCTCACTCCAAAGCTAACCTTCCTCTCCGTTTTCTTTCTCTTTGTGTCGCTGCAGAGCAATATAAGCACCACTGGTTCCCAGACAGACCCTGCAAGGGTTCAGGTTACCGCTGCATCCGCATCAACCACAAGATGGACCCACTGGTGGGGCAGGCAGGCCAGCGCATCGGCCTGACCATCCAGCAACTCTACCTGCTGTTGCCCAGTGAGCTTACGCTCTGGGTGGACCCCTTCGAGGTGTCCTACCGCATTGGTGAGGACGGCTCCATCTGCGTCCTGTACGAGTCGCAGCCCGGCCCTGTAGGAATGCCGGCGATAGCCGCCGGCAGCACCCCCTCAGGAAACAGCGGCTCGGTGAGCACCATGGTGGACAGTCACATCAGCTGCAAGGAGGAACTGATGGTGCTGGGCAGAACCAGTCCCTCCAAAGCCTACAATATGATGACTGTGTCCAGCTAAAGTGGCACACTGTCACACCGGCCTACTCTTGTTCAGGGTCACGCCGTGGCTGGTCAGATCATTTGACCAGACCAGGGTGAGCCTTTTTAAAGCTAAGAATATGAAATGAAATAGTGAAAGAAGAAAAAAAGCAAAAGGAAAAAAAAAAAAGAAAACAGAGGATGTGGCCTATCGTCCAGGTGATGGAAACCTTGTAGGTTTGATATTTTTTACCCCTCTCTCCCCGTTATCATCTGTTCTGTTGTGTCATTGGATCAGCCGAGCACTCCGTTTTTTTAGGAGAGGCTTTGTGGAAATGGAACTGTTGGGGCAGCTAAACCAACCAACCAACCAACCAACCAACCAGGAACCCCCATGGAGACCCCCATCCCCCCCGCCCACACATCCGATCCCCATCTGAAAACAACATGGTGATCAGCTCCACCTCTGAAGGGGCTGTCAGCATTGACTTTGCACTTTTCTTACTTGTGGTTACTATGGGTACACGTTCAACACACCACTGCAAAAAAAACAAAACAACAACAAAAAACACCAGAGTCTAAATTGTCAGGAATATTTTCCAGGAACTACCCCTTTGAATTTGAAAATGCAGAGGTTTTGCTGTTTTTTTTTTCTTCCGTGTCCTGTGTGGGGAGGAAGTTGAGGTTTCAGACTGCGCCCGTTGCAATCCAAGCTCAAGGTAAAGAAACGCCCAATGAGAGCATCTCTATTTTCTATAAAAAAACCACAAAAAACAAAAACCCTTTTTGGACCACAGGGAATACGCTTTCTTTATCTTGTAGCTACTGAAAAAAAAAAAGGCTCGTGGTCTTGACTTCTCTTCCTCCCCCTCCTTCTACTATCAACACTGAGCTTCAGAAAACCTTCATCTCAGCGTTCTCTCGGCCTGTATGTAAGTGCAAGTGGAATGTGTTGTGACACCTGTTACCTATGGATACCAGTGTGTCCCGTTGCACTGTCGCCCTCCCATCACTCATGTTTGTGTAGCTTTTTCCGGGGGAGAGGGCAAAAAGGGGGACCCGTCTCTTCCCCTCTTCCCCCGGTTAATGAATGTTGTTGAAATTCACAATCAAGTTCCTGTGTTAATTTTTTTGCCCCCTTTTCCCCCTCACCACTTTGTCATCTCCTGCATTACCAAAACTCAAAGTGTAGCAAAAAGGGGGGGCCCTATTTACCCAAATTTTGGTCATGTGGCCCAGCTAGAATTGACATTGAATGCACTTTGACGTGAGATTGTGTGGGATGTGTACTTTTGAAAAAGAAAATCGCCTTCATTCCATCCATTCGAATGTCATCTTTTCACGCCGTTTTTACTGCCCTTCTCATTTGTAGCTGTTTGTTTCATACTGTAGCTCCCACGTTGGCGTAGTCTGTTGAACTGGGAGTGTGCAAGTCTGGATTTCGAAAAAAAAGAAAAACCCTTTTTAACACTGTACTTGTGAACATTTCAGAGCTCTTGGTTTTTTTTTATTTGTAGGTGGAGAGTATTCTGGGTGGTATGTTAGAAACATTCTGTCATCCATTCATATGGCACTGTTGACTCTGGCACGATGCAGAGCTGAGCTATCCCCCCCCACTCCCTCCTCCCCCCACCCCCCAGACACACACAGATGGTGATTTGTGTTGCTGATTTCAAAAAAAAAAAAAAAAAAAAAGTTTGTCTGAAAGGTCTGGACTAAGTGATGACTGTGTGAGACTTTGGCCAAAGGGAGGTCTGGAGCGCCGACTGTTCAGAGATGAATTCTAACTTGAATTGAAAACGCCAGGCCCAGTCAGCCTTCTATTTTCACTTACGATTTCTAAGCTCTTATAAACCAGAGACACTTTTGTGTGAGTCGGAGGTGCACTGCCTTACGGAGACCTCATGAATTATGAGCCATTTGTGATGTTAATCTAATATCAGGCTTATGAAAGCCAGCCCCGGTGCATTGTGCTGCCCGGACCCTCACTGGAGGCGTCCGTCCCCCCTCTTTTTATTTCCAGCCTGGCAGCTTCAAACCACCACCCCCCACCCCCCCACCGCACCCCTCCTGGTGTAGGGGTTTAGAGTGCCTCAAGTGCCACATATCACCCCTCAGCTCAGACCTCCTGTTCAGCCAAAAGCAAGCCAGCATGCTGCTAGCTGACCCCCTGTGGATGCAGGTAGACTTAATGTGACACATATCATCATCCATCACCGTGGGGAGCTGGGTAAGGAAGGCAGGGATGAGGAGCTGGTGTGAGAGAGGGGGGGCCCAGGGCCGGACTCTTTGTGTCCAGGGCAGCTAAAATCCCTCCAGCCCCCCCTCTGGACTTGTTCAACAACCCCCACCCTGACCAGAAGCCCTCAACCCTCCCTCAGCAGTGATGGATAACCAGCATACGCACTTGGCGTGCTCGAGCTGCACTTAGGGGGCTAGTGAGAGACTAGGAAACATGGATCAAAGATGAAGAAATGAGGGTACTAGGCCGTTGTTTTCTGTTTTCATCTCACTGGATCGCGCTGCACTTGATTACTGAGTTTGAGTAGCAACTTTGTTTACATGCATATGAAAGGGTGTGATGGCTGTCTGACGTACCCCGACTTCACTCCTGGTTCTGGGGCTGAGTGGTTAACAGCATGGATGGAACAGATGCTGGAACGGCTACGGGTGTTGCTCAGGCCTTAGCCGCTGGCCAAATCTGTCACGGCAGGCTGGTTCGCCGCTCATCACCAGACCTCTGGGTGTTTAAGCTCCCCTAAGCCTGAGAGGATCATGGGTAATATAGCTATAGCCTTTGACGCACTGCAACCCCCTAACCCCCTCCTGCCCTGCTCTCTGCTGATACTCCCTTCAGCAATCTGTGAAAAGCAGTGATTCCATGTTGGCCAGATGGAGAGGAGCCTGCTGGGATGGGAGCCCAGAGCTTTTTGGTTTCCATGGCGGACACCAGTTTTAAAATCATGCTGCTCCGTTATAGCTTTTTAACGTCACGTGACAAGATGTTTTGAGATTGGTCTATATTTCGGACGCGAGATGATCGTCTCGTCTCACTTATTTTCCTCTAGATGTGTTTTATGGTCACACTGGTAGATTTTCTCATGTTTCCACTCATCCCCCATTTTCTCCTCTTCATCCTCTTTTTTTAAGAGGATTTTTAGTCTGGTGATCTAACCCACTTTTTTTTTTCTTTTTTTAGCAGACCTTGTTTTTAGAGCCACAAAATTTTTAAAAAAATACTAAAAATTCAACCCAAATCCCCTTGGACACCTTCTCAACTGTACTACCACCACCCAAAAATGGTTTTAGGTCCTCAGTAATATTGATTATTCAAATGGCATCCATTCAGCTTGTGCGCACATAGGTTCAAGAATCGAGAGTGCTTTGAGTAGTCAGAGGTAAAAAAAAAAAAAAATAAAGCACATAAATGCACTAAATGTCAAGTTGAAGTTGTGTGACATTTTTTTGAGACGCGAGGAGTCTCTCCCTGGAATGTATTGCCAAACTCAGGCCTCGGACATTCAATAAATACTCTTATAGAAAAGTTGTGCATGTTAAGACATGAAACAGGAAGGGAACAGCAGTTTTGTTGTTGTTGTTGTCAATATTGTCATCGATTAGTTGAATTATTGCCACTTTCACATTTGAGGTGTTTTACATATTGTAGAATGTATTGTAACTGTACAACAAAATGGTAGAGTACACGACATTACACATGGGAAGTGCCAATAATTGCTATCCTGAGGTGTTTTTAGATGTATTCCTTTTTTTTGTATTTCATCTTTTAACATGGATAATGCTTTTCATAAGTGAAGCCATTTGTGATGGGAGTGTTGGCAAGGACCAAAGTTGTTTTGGTAAAAAAAAATCTTAGTTTCCATGATCTGTAAGTGTAGACGTATCCTTTGTTTTTTCTTTTTTCTTCTTTTCCTTTTTCTTTTCTTTTCAGTTTTTTTTCCCTTTTTTTTTTCTATTTACATACAAAAAACAGAAAATAGACAAAAAAATCTGAGCTTACCCAAGAAGAAAAGCTGTATCTTGTGATCTCATGTCAGTACATCTTTATCGTGTTCAGTTTCTTTTCCTTGGGTATGTTGTGATGAACTGCTGTAAATTTGTACAGTTCATGTAAATTGATTGTGCGGAAGTTGTACAGATTTCTATATTTTGGAAGAAAAGTTTTTTTTTCTCTGTAATAAAAGATTTCCTATCTTGGCATCATACTCCCTGTGAGCTGTGTCATTATTCTCGGTGTTCTAAATCAGAAGCTAGATGCCTGCATGTCAGAGCTGACCTGAGGAGGATCTTGAGGAGCTACACAAACCTAAATACTGATGTTGTGGCCTCAGTGGGGCCCAGATTGGAATTTGACCTACAATACTTTAAGGACTGAGAGAGACATCTGTGCCAAGAAGACTGGAGAGGAGGTCAAGTCAGCAATTCTTGTGCTTTGCTGACATTTGTCCCTTTGCTTTGTGTATAATAGATTTTAGGTCATTCACTGTATAATCACATTAAATGCTCACACCAGCTTGAAGTAACGGTGCCACTGCAAGCCTTTGTGGAACAAATTCAAACCGAGAAAATGTGCTTCTCTGACGTTGCAGCTCTTCACTTGGAGAGCAACCCGTGGAACATTCTCATAAGCCCTTTCTGCTCCTTTCCCTTAAAAGGTCCGCTGCCTTCTCCCGATCAGCAAAATCCGATCACCTCACGTCAGAAATGCTCCACCATATTTCCGGGAACAAAACTCATCCTTCCACTTTTCCATCTAAACCGGAGCTGCCAGCCAGGCGCTTCCACCTCTTAAATGATAGGATGCGACAGATGGTACCGTTAACCGAGATTCTCGGAAAGAAATCCTCTGCCAGGGCACCAATATGCATGATACTGCTGCACCCGAAAAACAGCTGACTCGGCAAAAACCCGGAGTTTGGATTAAGACCGCGATCCTGTAGCTGCACTCTGAATCCCCCAGGTTGCTTAGCAGCAGGCAGAAAAAAAGAAAAACATGTGGCTTGTTTTGACGCGCAGACAAAAGACGGGAACAAGATGAGCTGGTTTAGCCGGAGCTGAGGGCGTGAGGGGCGGAGGGTGGGGGGGGAGGCAGAAGAGGGAAGGTGACTGGACTTGTGTTTAAGTTGAGCTTTACCTCTCCAAACACCAGCTACCAGCATGAGGCCTCAACAGCTGCGGAGTGGGAAGTGTAATTTTAAATCACGGCCCGCTGCCAACAAGAAGCACAATGAAGGGATTTAAGTCACATTTTGGGGCTTATTTTGTATTTTGCATGAATTCTCTCCCGGTTCGATCCATGTGGAAGCAGGTCAAAGATTCCCAGGGTGTGTCTGACTGTATGGCCCAGTGTGGTTTTGTTTTGTATGAAAATATCGTCTGGGTGGAGGGTGGGAGTGAATAAGAAAAAAAAAAAAAAAAGCATCCAAAAGCAACACACGAAGCACAAATGATTGAGATTTAACTGGATTTTGCAATTCTCCCCGGACACGGTTTTGCAATGACTCATTTGAGCAAGCTGTTTTGACACATTTTTCATCTCCGCAAAAAAAATAAGAAGCGATTTGCAGAACTCGTGCCGAAAATATCGCATTGATGGTATAAAATTATAGATAGCTGTTGGAACATGAAAGGTGTTAAAAACATAAATATGCCACTAAATGTCTTCTAAAGGAGCAATTTATGCTTAAATATTCCTTAAGGTAGGCCAAGTTATGGAAATGAACTTCATTATAATTTCATGTGAATTAAGAGCTCATCAACATAAAGCTCGCTATTCCCTTTGTGGAAATTCTGTTGCAACGTATGTCAGAATATCATCAAATCCTCATATAAGAATTGCATTGGAGTTTCAGCGTGGCACTGATGAAACAGCAATGTAATATTTTCTGCTCTCCCTTCTTGCTCACATAGCAACAGAGGTCACCATGTAGAGATTGTCTGATTAGGTGGAAAGTCCCAGAAGGTGTGGCCGATCACTCGTCAAAGAAAACAACATGATAATGGACTCATAAATGTAAAGTTATTGACTTCACCGTTCGCTGGAGTTAATCCTTTCAGATTGCCATTTTTTTGTACCGTAGGTGTACTTTGAGCTCTGCCCTGCACCCAAACCGTGTCCTCGGAGTGGTAACATTTACGTATGCTTGAATCTGAATGTTCAAGCAATATGTTGCTGCGTGAGAACAAAGGCCTGGTGAGTGACAGTGTGAGCGTGTGTGTCTGCTAACAGGGGGAGGCAGACATCTGGGACCCGCTTTATTGCCAGCGAGATGACAGGGTAGCCCTCCTGCAGAGTGCATGTGTGTTATGCTCCTCTGCTTAAAGGACAAAAAAGCTACACAAGTCACACAGCCTTTTTTTTTTTTTTTCTTTTGCAAATGCACCTCACGCCAGCAGGCTTTGTGTGCACTTTTGGTGAAACAGGCTGCCAGCCGTCCCTGGCGCAAAGTTTAATTTCACAGTTTTATTATAAACTATCCCAATTAGTGAATTAAATCCAGAAACAAAACAAATCTTTCGCTGTCAGGCCTCTGGCACTTCTCAAATGTGTGAATCCACGGCCAAATATTTTATGATCCATGTAACTAAAGGCTGCAGCTGTGCAGTGCTCCGCTGTGGTTGGATTTCCACTCGCATCCCAGTGTTTTCTGTGAATGTGCGCATCGGTGAGAAACCAAGGACAACTTGATTCCTCTTTGAAACAGATCCCTGCCCTGCTGGTGTGGATCTCCCGGGTGTAAAAGCGGCACCAGCGATCCCCGTCCTTCCCCTCGGGGCACTATTCATCCTTGACGCTGACATCTGCTTTGCCCCCTCTGCACACGCCCTTCCCACCAGCATCTAAAAAAAACCAAAACAATGAATGAAACAGAAGACAGTGGGGACAAAGACAGTGAGCTTGGGTAGCCCACCTCACTGATGCAGGATGGATTGATGAAGGGAGGGGTCTCCAGGGAAGAGGTGGCCATCGTGTGACAGTTGAACAGCCGCGACCTAAATCAAACAAGAAGGTGTGCACATGTCGCTTTTGTGTGTGCTGCTGTCAACTCGCTGTTTATTTTATAAATTCTGTTTATTTAAGTCTACATACATGGCTGTGTGTATAACATGTGTGACCGTTCAGACATGTGAATGTGAACACACGTGTTTCTTATTCCCTGTGATTGAGTTAAAGCTTCGCTCTCGAGGTCGTGTAAATAAGAGCTAAATTAAATAGACTAATAAGAGGTGCAGTGTGCAGGCGACAGAGAGGTCAAATGGGATCCTGTCTTAGCTGATCTACAGTCATCTGACTCAATACTTCAACCTCTGGCATTGACACCCAGATTATTGAATGCTTTCTTCGTATTTCGTAAATATTTAATGCATTTGCAAGCAAGTTATACTTTACTTTGACATGGCTGATTCGACCAGTTACATCATTAGATAGTCATATGTTCAGCAGCACTTTCCACTTTCAATTAACTTTGACATCTTCGAGAAAACCACAGCTGATCTCTGAGGGAACTGAAATCCGGAGAGTTCAAAACGAGAGAAGCCGTTATGTGTCCTGCTAGTTCTGATAACTGGTGTTGGCCACCGTGGACATGCTGAATGGACTGTTTCCTCGCATGCTCTGATCTGAATCAGTTGTTGACTTTGCAGTTTTCCCCTTTGGTTTGGATACTTGTCATATAGAAAAATTCAAGTGAACCAAGATGCATCAGTACAAACCACACAAGAATGTTCACTCTGCTTATTGGTCAGATGTTTCTAAATACAGGAAAAAGGTCTTGTGTTCTGGACGAGATCATGCAATTGCTAGTGAGCCCTTGGTTCATTCTCCATCTCGCTGCTACTACTCTTACTATCACTACACAAGCAGCGACAGTTTGCATGCTCCTCTGCACTCTGGGAACCACGTAACGCCCACTCGTAAAGAACACCTGATAGTGGGGTTGGATCGAGGTTGCAACACCTTAAACAAACCGATCCGGGGGTTGTTTAGGTACCAGACTGAAACTACCTCCTCTCAAGGGTTTCAGTGCAGTTATTTTGGTCTACGTCCAGGTGCAAATACTGTTTTCACACCCACCTAAAAGAGTTGCACAGAGGAAGACAAACCAGAATCCAGTTTAACCAGACTGAAAGGCCCAGGTGTGAAAACACCCTTAAGACTGCCAGGTGATCGCTGGAAAGGAAATATGCTGATTTCATCAAAAATACAGATGACTTGCAAATTGCTTTCTTGCCCTGCGCTGTGATTCATGTACACACAGAGTACAGACAGTCATGTAACGGCAGCAGCGCTTTCTGGGTGGTGAGGCATTTGTCACCAAGGCTTTCCATAGGCCGACCATTTTTTGCACTGTCTTGTCTGTCGAGTGAAGTCTTTTTATGGCAGCTGAGAGAAAGAGGTAAGTGAGAGCTTGTGATCTGATCTGTATCTCTTCACGCTCCATCCTTAGCGGCTACTGACTTCCTCATGCCCTCTCTCCTTTCTTTAAGCAAAAATAGATTTCATCTCATAGCCTCTTTATCTCCCTCTCAGGTTATGTATTCTCTCCGCCCCAAAATTCTTCTCATATCACTTCCCCCCCCCACCTCCTCGCCTCCTTCACTCCCTTCCCCACCACCTCACCCCTCTGTCTATCTTTATACCTCCTTCTCCAGGCTGCGGGTGTCACCAGTCAGCTCACACTCACACAGCGCAGGAATTCATTCCAGAGTCTGGCATCAGGCCTTATTGGGGTAAGGTGAGGGGCCTCGGTGGGAATCATGTGATAGCGAGTCTTCGTGTAATCTTTGTCTGTCTGAGTGGGAAAACTCTAAAATGTGCAAGAAAAACTGAAAAGGAGAAAGCAAATGTAGCTCCAAAAGAGGAACTCGTGCAATTATTCCAACAAACTGCTGCATATATCACTGGTGGCTGCATTTGTTAAGATAATCAAGTAACATTGAGCAGTTTAAATCAGTTCAAGGTTTGCATCAGTTGAAATGAGGAATAAAGTGCAGCATTTTTTTTAGCCACATGCAACCAAAATGTTTAGCAATTAGTTACAACTTCTCCTATTTTGACTCTTAATAAGTCAAGTATTTACTCTCACTTTAGCTCCGCTTTACCTCCGGTCCTGGAATGAAAAATGTGGCTGTTTAGCTGCTAAATGGTTCAATGTGTTCAGCAGGCAGTTGCAAATTATGCCTGAGCAGGTATCTTATAATCCTG